AACCGTTTCACGTTTCAGTTTTAAATTCTAACGGTTGAAGTCATGTTTTTCACGGTAAACCCCGAATCAGTTTCGCAAATTAAAAAGTTAGTTTATTTATTTATTTATTCAGAATATTTGCGAAAATCGCGTACTCTGGTATATCAGTCAGCGGGGTGTTACAATATTAACTCTTGAATAAATTAACTATCCAATTTAATTGATTTTTCAGTATATTTTCTATCTTTCTTCAAGCTTAGGCCTTTTTTTGAGTAAAGCAAGCAAAAGTCGACTGAACAAGCTTCTTCTCTCGTTAGAGGAAGTGACATCTAAGGGGCGTAAGCGAAGATGATCCACCACCCCTTCTAAACCTATCGAATACCCTTCTTCGGCCTTCCCGAAGTTGCAATTTAGTCTACAGAAATGCGGGGAGGGGTGGAAGACAGATAGAGTTGTAGGGTTTGCCATAGATCAATCACAACTGCTGCATTGTCATCATATCGTATTATCATACCAGACTATAGAGCCTAATGAAAAAGAATTCGGGCTTGCCGGTCGCAAAACGCGTTCTCTATTAGTGAAGTAAAGGGGCAAGCCGGAATGAATCAACAGATTCACGGAAAGGGCTACGGATGATAGCAACTATGATAACGACACTGACGATAAAGGGCTAGGGCTTTCCTTGGCTACCATGCTCTTACGCTTAGAGCATGCGGCTTGTCCCTCAGCTGGTCAATCCAAATTTTTTTTGAATGATATTAAAAAAAAAAGTATTCTAGAAAAGTTCATAGAATTAGAGGAAATCCTCTTTTTGCGGAAAAAAATAATATATCTCACATAGAACTAATAATATTTCATACATAATGTGTTCTAAAATTTGAAATAATATTACAAAGTATTTTATTTTCTATTTAATTTTTTATATTTTTTTATATCACAATAATAAATATAAATTTTATTTATTTTTTAGTTTTTGTTGTACAATTAAGTTACTATCGAATAAATATTTAGTTCACAGCGTTGTGCTAGTTAAAAGTTATTCACAATTTAGCATTGATGAAATATGATTTCACATTAAGCAATAATGATGATGAGCCTAGGGTTTTATACAACCACTACACACGCACAACACATGCACATTACACACGTGCCACTGCCTAACTAACTAGCTTACTTACTAAGCTAATTACAAACACGTACAACACATGCACTTACAAGCTTATTACAAAATAATGCCACTGTATATGATATACTGCAATACACCCCCGTTAAGCTAAACCGGGTGAGAGGAATGCTTAGCACGCAGAGGAAGCCGAGAGCACAACACATGAAAACGACCAGGAGACAAAGGCTTTGTGAGCAAATCAGCAACTTGAGAATGAGAGGGAATATATCTGACTTCAATTTCCTTGGCAGCTACTTTCTCTCTAATGAAGTGCACATCAATCTCAATATGCTTAGTTCTAGCATGCAAAACCGGATTAGAGGCCAATGCTGCAGCACTATCATTATCACACCACAAAAGAGAGGGTGACTCAAGAAACAAACCCAACTCATGAAACAATGACCTTAACCAAAGAAGATCAGAAGTAGCATTTGCAAGACTTCTATACTCAGATTCTGCACTGCTTCTGGAAACCACCTGCTGCTTCTTGGAGCTCCAGCTAAGAAGGTTTGGACCAAGAAAAATTTAATGGCCTCCTGTAGATCTTCTGTCATCAACACAGCTAGCCCAGTCTGCATCAGTGAAGGCTTCAAGAGAAAACCTATGAACAGGCTGAAACAGAAGACCCACAGAGAGAGTACCCTTGATGTATCTTAATAGATGTTTGCAAGCTGTCCAATGAAACTGAGTGGGAGCATGCAAGAATTGACTAAGCTTGTTTACAGCAAAAGAAATATCAGGTCTAGTCATGGTGAGATACTGAAGAGCACCAATGACACTTCTATACAGAGAGGGATTGGCAAGAGCAGCACTGTCAGCAAGATGAAGTTTGTGAGAAGGAGACATAGGAGTAGACACTGGTTTGCAATGGACCATGCCAGTCTTAGACAGAAGGTCTAATGCATACTTAGCTTGATTAAGAACCAGGCCATCAGAGGATCTAAGGGCTTCAAAGCCAAGAAAATGATTGACCTCTCCTAAGGTTTTGAGAGCAAATTTATGACCAAGGGTATCTATGAGAGACTGAACAGCCACTGCATTATCACCAGTTATTAAGATGTCATCTACATAGATGAGAATGAGAAGCAACTCACCATTGTCCCTTTTAAAGAATAGAGAGGAATCTGAGATAGAGGGAAGAAAACCCAAGGACAGTAAAAATTGCTTGATCTTGGTGAACCAGGCTCTTGGAGCCTGCTTGAGACCATACAAAGACTTGTGAAGTTTACACACAGCAGTAGGATGAGCCTTGAAAATAAAGCCCTCAGGTTGAGCCATGAACACAGTTTCAGTAAGATCCTCATTAAGAAAGGCATTGTTGATGTCAATTTGCTGAATGGACCATGAGTAGGTTACTGCAAGGGTGAACATAAGTCTTATAGTGGAAGCCCTAACAACAGGACTAAAAGTCTCCAAAAAATCAACACCTGCAGTTTGTTGGAAACCCCTAGCTACAAGCCTAGCCTTAAACTTGTCCACTGACCCATCCAGCTTGTACTTGGTTCTAAAAATCCACTTATTAGATATAATCTTCATACCAGGAAGAGGATCAACCAGAGTCCAAGTATTATTAACAACAAGGGCTTGGAACTCAGATTTCATAGCAGCATGCCATTCAGGCTTAGTGAGAGCCTCATGAACAGAAGAAGGCTCCAAAATAGGTAGAGATGTAAGTTGAGCAGAGAAAGTCTTTGGC